TGCCCCTGAGACAAAAATCCCTGCTGGGTTGGTTGTCCAGATGCTACAAATCCCATGGTGCTACCAGGACCCATCAGAGCTCTGTGTCACCATCACTCAGATGTGGTTCAGTCACACCTAGGGAAACCTGGCCTAAAGCCTTCCAATAAGCCTTTCCCATCCTTTAGCAGCTGCTCCCACTTACTCTTACAACCATAGCATCTCTGCATGTAATTTAGATTCCGGCAGATACCCTTCTATTTTTTGGCATCCCTGAATTGCTTCCAAATTTCTTTTCTATTTAGTCTAATAGATGTAAAACATTATTTAGATTTTCACTCATAAAAATGACCAAAAGCAGCTGTATCTTCACAAGCTATTGGACGTCAACCAAACCTAAAGGTCATTCTGACATATACTAATGGGAATTAATTTCAGAACATAGTCCTCATTAAAAAAAAAGACTCCATTTCATCTTATCTGAAAGATCTACTTTTATATAGTTAAGCTAAAGCTTTTATTAGAATTTGTTAAGAAATTATTACTTCTAAAAAGAGTCAATTATTTTGAACTGCTGTAAAAGCAAACTGTAATTTGATGGAGAAGTACATCACAGAACTTTCCTGTGTCTTTCTCCACGGGAGAGGTTGAAGACAACTCAGGGTTTGTGTTGGTGCACTACAAAGATATTAGAGGGGAGGAACCAGTGTTTTCCGGCCTCTTACCAACACCTGCTTCAGGGAACAATCCTGTAATTCCACCATCATCTTAGTTTGAGGGCAGGAAAACTGTCCTGTGCCTACACACACATTGCTGACTGACACTCAACCAACCATCCAAGGTTTTGCTGCCACTTGTGTAGAATAAATGTCCTATTTCTGATGTTCTCCTTCATGTTTTGTCCATAGAGTACTTTCTTGACTAAGCCTTGAGTAAAATACAAGGCATCATTTTTTGCCCCTTTCAAAGTGAGGAGCATTTGTATAGTTTCCTTTACTGAGAATTTTCTTCCTGAATCAGTCAACTGAGACTCATCACAGTATCGAACTTTACCACCAGGTCATCCAACAAAGGAGGATGATCTCCCAGAAGAAAGTGGAATCCATGGCCCTACACAAAGCTTTGTTTCTGGTAACAGGGCTGAACAAGGCAATGTGAAAGGAGGGGCAGCTCCCCAGTCTGCAAACTGTCCTTTTCTGGTCACAGCCTCCCAATCCACCTGAAACTTCTCTTGAAGGAGTCCTGTCGAAGGAAGTTTCCAAAAGGCTGCCATGGTTTGCTAGTGCTGCTCCTTTGCGGGAGGGAAAAGCCCATGTAAACAGTTGCTTTATCTTCAACTCTGGGAGAGGCAGTTAGAACTAAGTGAGGATGTGGAGACTGAACCATCTGCAGCTTGTTTAACTATTCCCATTTTAAAGGTGAAAAATAGTTTCAACAAAACAGACATTAATAATTAATGTTGTGCCAGAAATTTTTCTTTCTTTCTTTCTCTCTTTTTCTTTCTTTTTTCTTTCTTTCTCTCTTTGCCTTTCTTTCTTTTCTTTCTTTCCTTCTTTCTTTCTTTTCTTTCTTTCTTTTTCTTTCTTTCTCTCTTTATTTCCTTCTTTCTTTCTTTCCCTCTTTCCTTCTTTATTTCTTTCTTTCCCTCTTTCCTACTTTCTTTTATTCCTTCTTTCCTTCTTTCCTTCTTTCCTTCATTCTTTCTCTCTCTGTGTTTCAAATTTTCAGGTTTCATAAGGTTTCCTAAATTTCCAGATTATGATTTTCCCTTTCCCTCACTGCTTCCAAGTGCCACTTATGAGGTAAAAGGGAGAAGATGAAAAGGTCAGGATATTAAAAAAAAAAAAATCACAGATATTTTGTGACACTAATTCTGTTTTCGAAAAATAATGTATTACTTCTCAGTAACACTCATATTATTATATGTCCATATGTTTGATTGCCCATAACTGAAGAAATATCATTCCCCCATTAATCAATTCAGCATTATTGTGGTTAAGTGTATCATTAATTTTTAGGCTGGAAGGGATTCCATTCTGTTCACATTTATACAATGCAGCTAATCCACACTGCAAACAGGAGACATTCAAAGAATCCCAATGGGTGTAGTGTTTACAAAATGAGTAAATCCAGAATTTTCTTGATCACCAGCAACAAAGAAACCAGCCAAAATCACTAAGCCTTGAATTTACACCAACTTCTGTTTCCCCTGATTGCCACTGTATAACTCAGCTGGAAAGAAAGACAAAGCAAGATATTTATGTATTATCTCAGACAGCTCTCAAAGTCATTGTAGAATTTGCCTAGTTAGTGATGATTCTCATTCAAGTGGTTTTGAAACTTGACAGACTTCCACTTTGGGTCACGTTTCCCAAGGGAGACCCAAAATGGGAATTTTCCAATAGTAGAACACTCTGCCTGCCAGAACTGCTCCAGCTGTGGCTGCAACTGCCTGATAGGGACATGTGACAGGAGGATATCCCAGATAATGCCCACAAAAGCAGAAAACGACCATTCTCCATTTGGAGAAGATCTTGTCAGGATGGTGAGCTGTGTATGTCTCAGGAATATGCACATACAAGAAATATGAAGTATAGGAATAGTATATATAAAAAATTATCAGTCGCTGAGCATTATTTTTGCTGGCTTGTCCTCTGGTGTCTCCAGCAATCAGCATTGTAGGGACTGAGATAACAGCTGCCCAGGTGCAGTGGTCTTAACCCACCTTTAAACTATATATGTCCCATGAATACATCTGTGCTGGTTTAAAAGTTAACCAGCAGGGAAAATGAACTCAATTCAAAAGAGAGATTATAAATCAGAATAACAATTTAATAAAATAATACAATAAGTACAATTATACAGACAAGCAATTTGGTTTTAACCCACAAAACCCAAATGTATAACCCAGCACCCTGGGGCATGAACAAAGTGGTGTTTCTTGGCCCCCCCCCCCCCCCGAGTCCAAAGTAAAGGGAGAGGGGAGAAAAACCTGCTGGTGGGAGAGCTGTTGCAGTCTGGTCAAAAGTGGTGATTGCAGTCCAGTTGAGGGTGGTGAGCTGCAGTCTGGTTGAGAGCGGTGAGCTGCAGTCTTCCTCTGGATCCCACGAGTGGTAAAAAGGTTCCAAAACTCCAAGTTTATATATTCTCCAGTTCAGGCAGGAATGCTCAGTTCTTCCCTCAGAGCAGGGAATTCCATAAAAAGGTATGAGGACAGGAACATCTACAGGCCTCTACTGCTGACAATTTCTGGGAAATGGCATGGAAGGCTATAGAATACACAGTTTTGGGTTACACCCATACCATGATGAACTGGTCTCAGCTGTCCTAACTAGGACAACATCTCAGCCCTTAGACAATTCATTTCTACGTCTGTCTTCCATAACATCCTGCACCAATGAGCTCAGTTTTTAGGGAGCCACCCAAAAAAATTGCCAAACCTTTTTTCCTGAGTGGTAATAACTGCATTAAGAGTTTGTCTTTAGGGTGTGTATAGTGAGGGATTTTTCTATAGGTTGAATTTCATCAGGTTACCTACTACCCAATCTTCAAAAATATTCCCAAAAATCTTTGCAAATATGTATAAATTCAGCTGTCCTGAAACAATTGCATATCGACAAGTTATGTCACTTCTTGTTTCTTTCTCATACCATTTATGAATATACTGAAAAGCCTGGGTCCCAGCACTGCCATTGAAAGACATTTTGAAAAGTTATTATGGACTTCTTTTTTTTCCTGTGTATCGATTCCTCAAGAAGATTTATGCTTTTAAATCTATTTCATAAGGAGATTTCATTCAGGGAGCAAAAGTTAAACATTTTCTTCCTCAATGAAGTTGAATGTGTTTTAAAATACTGAGTTTATTTTCACTGATAGGCAAAAACACCTCTGTCAAAGTGAAACAGCTTTGGAAATTTCAAACTGTTGTGTCATTTGTCTACTTAGTGTCTGTATTAGTCATTTTTATTAGACTCAGAATTCTGCAGAAATGGTATCTGAAGAGAGATCTTCCAAGCAGTCCAGCATCTGGAAGTTTTTGAGATACTTGGGGAAAAAAGGTGACATACAACAGAGGAAACAACACAAAGCAATGAGACAGGTATGCAATTCAGTAAACAGACTAAGACATTTCCAAACTGTTGTCTGCTGATCATTGCTGGCCTTTAGGAGATTGCTAAATTACTGCAAATCCATATTAAAGTGTACTTCACTTATCTCCAGAGTGTTTTCAATTATATGTTTGATGATAAGGCTACACAATCTACATGAGAAATAATGGAAGTTTCCTCAAAAAGATTGGTTCCAAACTAGTCTCTCTCACATATGTTAAACCTGGAGCTGTTCTTGTAACTGAGAACAGACTTCAGCTCCATCATTAAGGCATATTCTGTCTGAGGAGGAAATCACTGAAGCCATTAGATAAGGACTCCAAAAAGCACACATATTGCTTTGTATTTGCCCAGTCGCCATATTAGTATGATGTATGGTTTCTTGTAAGGTAGAAGCTTTTTCATAAAGTTTTTCAGACTGCTTTTTTTTTTCCTCAGGCTGGTTCTCTCTATAGTAAAACATAATGATCACCATCTACAGTCCAAAACCACATTTAGTCCATTAAGGCATAATATTACTGTATTTTTTTAAGTAATATGAGCATGACTATAGTCTGGTGCTTTTCTCACAGTAAGAATTAAACAAATTCAACTAAAAAATTATTGGTACTCCTATTGAAATTCAAGTATTTGGTAAAACCTTGTGGTACATAAAGAAAGGTAACACCCTGACTGGTCACTGGAGCTCTTCCTACCTGAAAAAGACCAGATGTTTTGCAAGGAGAGGCAGCAATAATCCTTGTTAAATTTTTGCATTCTCATGACTCTACAAGACTGGTGAATGCCCTAAAATGTACCTTCAATAGTCCATGTGTTTTCACAGAATCTGTCACAGGGTAAATAACATGAAAAATATATACGTGCAAGTGATTTCAACAGAAAGAAAGATTCATACTGGATATTGGGAAGGAATTCTTCCCTGTGAAGGTGCTGAGGCCCTGGCACAGGTTGCCCAGAGAAGCTGTGGCTGCCCCCTGGAAGTGTCCAAAGCCAGATTGGATGGGCCTTGTAGCCACCTGGGATAGTAGAAGGTGTTCCAGGAAGTGGAATGAGATGAGCTTGAAGGTCCCTTTCAAACCAAATAATTCTGTGATTCTGCAATTTCAGCCAAGCCAATAAAACCCAGGGCAACTCAGACAACGGTGATACTCTTTTAACAGCACAGATCACTCTGACAGGAGATACATCCAGCAAAACAACTGAAATGTGGAAATGTGAAACTCAGATTATAAGGCAGCACTCTTAATAATTCTGACCAGCCTCTAAACTGCAACCAGGCAGAATAATATAAACTCTCGAGTAATTTAATCTGAAATACAGACTTGAAGAATTATGTCCTTTGCACCAAGTCCTGTGTGTATATTCAGAGCTGACTTTCATGTGTCAGCAGAGCAAGCTCAGCACAGCGGAGTGCTGATGGGGTGCAGAATGCCATGTCTGTGAGGCCAATGTCACCGGCTGGTCTCTGTCACCAAGGCAGGAGGCGACCAAGGGCTGTGCTGAGGGAAGGGAAGACCACCTCGATGAGCTAGCCTAGCCTCTGCAGCTGCACAAGCAACAGGCTTGTCCCTGCTCCAGCCTCACAGCCCTAGGTCAGCAAAATTCATTTGCACCCATGGTGCAGAAGGGCCTTGAACTGTCTCTGCATGTCTTTGTGTGCAGATGGTGCTGTTCCTACAGCTGTGCTCTAGGAGCCCTCTGTGGCTCCCATGAGATGGGTCCCACAAGGTCCCAGCTCACCCCTAAACAGGGGCTGGGGAAGGAACAGGAGCAACTTGGTTTACAGTCCGAGCTGAGGGCTTGGGAAGGACCAAAACTCAGTAACTAATTATCTATCCCAGCACACAACTTTTCACTCTGTTGAAGAATGACCTATCTGCAGCCTGTGCAGTTCCTCCTCATTTTAAGAGGCTGGAAAATTTCCTCCCTCTCTATAATTCACTCAGTCCATAAAGCTAAAGGGAAAAAAATTAAAAAATCTCTATTGTCTTCACAGGACTACAAAACATGAAGAGGGGGGAAAAATGCTGCTCTACATTGGGACAGGGAAAGAGATATCAGTTAAAGGAAAGAAAAAGCATATGTGGATGTTTTGGAGAAGATGAGTTATATCAATTATATTGATAAATTAAACATAAATATGTTTGCAAACCCAGTAGTAAATCATTATTTGCCATATGTGTCTTTCATCCCAAGGGTTACAAAGGCTTTACAACTCATGAACAAACCTACATACCATCAGTTAAGAGTCTGATTGGGATTTGGCAAAATTTGGCATTATAATGTGTCTTAACCAGTGGAAAATGTATCTCAGTTACATATACAGATTATATCGGACTGTAACTGGGCCAGTTTGTAAGAAAGTACTCAAATCTTCTACAACTATGGTGATTGTCTGAAATAAGTAGAAAACAAAACAATGTAAATAAATAGTAAAAGTATCAGGTATAGATAAAATAACTGACCCTGTGAATAGGAGATGGGGGTGAGTGGCTGGAGATGACTGGTGTAGATAGGAGTTGGGGATTCTACAAATAAAGTAAAATGGCTTCAACAGTGTAAATCTCTACCATTTCTCCTTATATGTAGGAAATACAGTTATATCTAGTAGCAGAAAATATAGGCTAGGTAATGGGAAACACCACAAGAGTCAGGTTGACCAAGGCCTAACATAAATTGACTAAGGCTACTGTTTAATCTTCAACTCATAAGGATGTTAAAATGCATTTAGACTAATATTCCCGGAAAGAGTTTAAATATTGTTTAGATAACAGATTTTTCCCAGTCGGATTTCATGCATAAAGCACACATTCCTTCTTTCTCTGGCTGAGGCTGGAAGGACAAGTTAGAGATCTTTTGGAAGATCCAAGGCATCTTCCAAAATCAGGTTTCACAGAAGACTTGCCTTCTGTGTGTTGAATATCAGCATTTCTGTGAAGAATTAATCCTTCCAATATATTCACATAAATAAAACAGCCTTTCAGGTTATTTCTGAGTGAGTGATGGAAAATAAACAGGCCAGAACATGGCTGAATAACAGTAGCAGGAGAAGTTTAGAAAAATATTCTTTATTATTTTGCAGTGTTAAAGAGACTCTCTTTCTTTTTTTGTACTTCTTGACCTTTTACCAGGCGCCACCATGGGATGATACAGTCTATGAAACCCACTGTTTAGGAAACACAACAATGTAGAGCTACTCCACATGTGAACCTCAGCAGCAGCTACATCAATCAAGACTCTTATTCCTGGGTTATTTGTACTCCTCAGTGTTTAAAAGGAACTGGCCTCTGTGATTCTCAACACCCCAAGCACAAACAAAGCTGTAATAACTCACAACTTAATGAAAGCAAACTCTGTATAATACACACAGACCCTGAAACTTGCAGGGTCTTTCAAGAGAAAATCTGAGCTCAGCCAAAACACGCAGACAAAAGAACAGATTTAAATCCCTTCCAGACACAGAGGCATGAGACAGAAGATATGTTCTGTTTATTTAGCAAGCCAGAGCTGGAGTGAGGGCCCTCACAATACAATTAAAGTTGTAACAATAAAAACACAGCAAACCAAGTCTTGCAGCCCATGGAAGACTAAGCCAGCAGTAGGATTATGGAACCTGAACACTCAGACATTTTAATACCTATGCCAGACAGAGTGCTGGATGATAATACTGACACAATAAAACATGAGAAATCCAAAGCCAAGGAATAGATGGAAAAGCAAGGCTTCTCTGGTGAAACTGCTTCTCATTGAAGGCTTAACTCCCAGCTCCATGCAGAGCAGCCACCCATTTGAAGTCACCCTCAGTTTACATCCTACAGCACTACCTCTTCCACAGGTGAGGAAATGCAACATTACACCATTCTTCTGCAGGAAAGGCACTGTATTCCTTGGATGAGGTCAAGATTGACTCTGTGATGACAACATCCACTGGCAGCATGGTAAATACACCAGGAAGAGTTCACTGAAGCAAATGTACAAGATGAGTGTGTGAAGACATTGCCCAAAAATATCTCCAAGAGAGTACTCAAGGCCCTCATGCAATAGCAACTCTGCTGCTGCGACACAGGATTTTACCCACAACCTTTTCTCTTTTTACCCTCAACCTTTTCTCCCTCTGCTAAATCCGGAACTGGAAATTGAAAGCGACAACAAAGGCAGGACCTGACAAGGCTTAGAGTTAATGGGTAGCTAAGAGAAATTACAATAATGGTACTACATAATATACAAGGGATTTTTTTCCTCCAGAAGTGTGAATCATAGAGAACAATGGAAAAAAATTATGTAGACAACAGTCATTTCAGAATTGTGCTGTCGTTGGTAGCTGAACAGTGCCTGAAGAACAAGGATCTGATGGCAAACAAGTGTTTCAGATGTTGGATTTTATTTGCAGAAGTATGCAAGGACTGCATTTTTTACTGAGTCAGAGAGATTAACTCCAGAACAGCAACCGGCTTTCAGGGCACTCTCATAGGGTTGCTTCAAGTTCCCTTTTTAAAGATAAATGCCACAACCCCTCACTATTTGCATTTTGGTCTATTCTTGTCTTACTGTTGTATCTCACAAAAATTTACAGACAAAATGGGTCAAATCACATGGAAGAGGTTAAATGAGAGCAGAGAAAGCTGAGTGGTACTGTCTTCCACTCAAAAAGGAAGTATTTGAAAGACATATTTTTAAACAACATAATAAAAAATGGAAACACAATGGATTTCTGATTGAAACATTGGTTCTGGACATGGTTTCCTTGGCAACAGTACTAATTTAAAGGCTTTTTAACATTATAACACTATGTATGCAGACACCTACTTTAAATGGCCCATATCTTGAGTTGGTCAGCTCAAAACTAGAAGCAAAACAAGACATTTTCTTTAGTTCAGAGAGGTAGTGGAACCCAACAGTGATAGCAGCTGTTTTTCTCAATGACATTCATACTGAACTGAGGGCTCAGGTCAAGAGGATGTTATTTTGTCAACATCCCTGGATGTGTTCAAGGAATGACTGGATGTGGCACTCAGTGTTCTGGTCTGGTTAACAAGGTAGGGATTGGTCACAGGTTGGATTCAATGGGCTTGGAGTTCTTTTCCAATCTAAATAATTTCTGATTATGTGATCTTAGTCAGTTACAGGAGTCTCATGTCTCAGCTGTATTAAGAAAATATCACAGTGAGTGACTTGGAGGTTTGGTGGATGTTGGTTTGGGTGGTAATTGATCCCACCCCCGATTCCACAGACACGTAAAGCAGTGGAGGTGTTTGTGCTGAACCAGGACAATGCTTAAAACACTCTGAGGGCAGTGAATCCCATCAGGATGAGTACAAACTCAGGAATCATTGGCACATTGCCCACTCTAGCAACTTGAGTAAACACTCATCACAAAACAATAAGTTCTGTGATTTTTCTTACTCTTGTTTTTCTTCAATTTCTTTCTGTGTTTTATGTTGACTTACTGCTAGAGACAGGTCCTGCAGAAGAAATGGGACATGCTGTTAAGTGGAGCTCACATACAAGTCTGTGTTTGGAGTATCCAGCCCTCCACTGCTTTAATCAAAGAGGAGAATTTCCTCTTCTCTACTGGTCAGCACCAGACCTGAGGAAGGTCTAAACCCTATGTGCCCAAGAGATCAAAAGAGCTCTTTCAAGAGGAAGAACAGTGGATAACTGTAAAGGAAGTTACAGCTGTTTGCCATTTAATGAAGTTAAATGCAAATGTAAATGTTTATAGACTCCAGGCTGGACTTAATTTTTTTGGAAGCAAGACTTTTGCAACATAATCATATTGCTATTATCAACATAAAAATATTGCTATTTTTTCCTGGTGGATTGTGAGTTATAAATAATTCCTTGTGATAATCTGCAAATGCTTCATGCATCTGAACATACTGAAACACCCTATTATCTGCCTAGTTCACATGAGCACTGCAGTGCTTTATTACTGAAAATAACCTTTATGCAAACCATTCACACTGACATGATTGGTTTGGATTTTTAATGTCATATTTTTCCTTCACTCACAGACAAGTACTGTTTGAAAACAACAACAGTAATAACAAGGAATCCACTCACATTTCTGGGTAGGGTCCAAGCACTCCTTGTGGATTGAATAAATGGTTTCCTCTAAACAAGGCAAATTTTCAGTCTCTCATCTGGAAAATATTATGTGAGCAAAAGCTCAACTATTACCTGCCAGAGCTGAAACTGTTATGAGTTGATTTTTATTCTTTCAGGTCAGGGAAGAACAAACATACCTCAAAAAATAGAGGCTGAAATGGTCTTTGTTATCAGGTGAGTGTAAAAGTCAGAGGCAATTTACAAACCACTGTAGACACCTGTTCTAATTTAGTTAAATTTAGGGAAAAGGTTTTACCAAATGGGGATTTTTCCTTCCTCCAGTCTCTAAACTGTGTATTCAGCCTATAGAACTGAGTTCATATACACTAAACCCAAGCTGTCTTACAAAGAGACATCCAAGAAACACTTACTGACTCCCCAGCACCACTGCTCAGTGGCTTTTCTGAAGGTTTGCAGCTAGAAAGAGAATTTACATAATAGCTTTGAGATGAGAGGAATTTTATGCTTGAGGAATCATTGTGGACAGCAGACAGCACCAAGGTGTCTATAATTTAGTAATAATGGTATATGGTATCTGAGCAGAGATGACAATAAATTTCTTTCCACAAAAGGCTGATTAATCCCTGTTAGAGCTACTATAGAAAAATCAGATGGGTCTCTGTTTTTCCCATTATATCTCACTCTTGATTTCTCTCTTAAAACTTTTCTGCACTCTACTTTGTCACAACTCCCCTGCCACTGTGTGTCAGAGCCCAGGAACTCTGCTTTTTGGGCAAGGGAAACAGTCGATCATTCATCTGTACTGGCTGCAGCAGTGAAGAATTGCTAGTTCCTACAGTGGCACTGGATATTAATGGCATCCTTGTAATAGAGAAGGGGAAGCAACTGGCTCCCAACACAGGCTGCATTGAAAGGGCTGCTGCAGCATTCACTCCTCAAAGGATGAAACATCCCTGAATGTCAATGGCCTCCATGCAGCCTCCACGAAGCCTCCACCCCTGTCTCACCCACCTCCGGACAAGACAGTAGGGAAAACACTGTCCCAGCCTACAGACCTGGCTGGGCTCCATGTCCAGGCTCACCCTGACAAGCTGTCAGATCCATAAAATGCTTTGACCTGAAGCCCCCCCACCAGAAGGTAGGAGAGTGGCACTGCCAGCCCTCTCTAAATTCAAGGCACAAAACTCTAAATGGCTTTCCCCGCGCTCACACAACCCAGTGCCAATCCCAAACAATCACCCCAACCCTGCAAAGACAAGTTTCCCCTGACCCATCCCCCCTTGCCCTGTGAAACAAAACACCCCTGTTTCTCTTTCCATCAGACTGGGAGACTACAAGAGACATATTTAAACTCAGATAAAATAAAGGCATGTCCCTCATGGCCAGAGTGTAAGATGTCATTTAAATAAACTTTCACAAAAATCAGAAAGTGCCCTGCCATAAATGAGTGATTCTTAGCACAGCTGGTGATCAACAAACTCACTTCCTAATTAAGTGTAGGAGCATAATGAGGAACAGGGAATCTTTTGTTTCACCAGCCCATGTGAACTCCAGCCACAAGTCCCCAGACTCTCCTAACTCCTGCATTCAGGGCTTGTAATTAGTACATAAGGAACCAGGTACTGCAGCAGCAGCCCCTAGGACAGTGGGCCTATTCACAGCCAGCCAGATGTGAGGAGCATTCAAAGGGCACCGACTGACTCACAGATTGCATGGTGTTGCATGATACCATAATCTCTGGTTTCCAGCCCCACAATCAACAGGCACTGTCATTTTTAATGCATTCTAATTAGGTGGTAAGCCTTACAGAAAGGTTCATAGCTACTGAGCTGGTGGATGCAGGGCAGGTTGGTCAGCATGCCTAATATTTCCTAAACTATCCCCAGCTTCATTAGCATCAGGGATATTCATGCCAGTATGATAAAAATTGGATCATGGCATGTGCAATTAAGGAGCTTTCAAATGTGCCTCTTTTAAACACCAGCACACAAAATAAAAGGAAAAATGGAAAAAATTACACACAGAAAAGCACCATGATGAGCAAAAGTGAACCTTCACATAAGGCATCGGTAAGCCTCCAAGGGAACCTCACTCAAATGTCCACATCTGTTATTCCTCTCTGAACAGCGAGCCTCTGTTCACTCACAGCTCCATCCCAAAAAGTCCAACCTCTGAGGCAGCAGGCAACATTCAGAGGTCAGGAGCCACTCTTACCTCCCTTTCAGAGCTTCTTAGCTCAAGATTTTGGATGAGCTCAGAAGCCTCAGCTGGACAGGCACCCACCAGAAAAAGGGCATATCCCTTTCACCAGTGGTAGAAGGTAAAAAGTGATAATAACATATTTGACGAAGGAGCATTATTAGCACTATTTGGTGTAAACTGCTCCTCTGACAGCAGGGAAATGGATTCCTCCTGTGTCTGACAGTTTTACAGGCAAGACAAGGTGTGTGTTCAAAGCCCCTTCCCAGCCACACAACCAGCAGCTTTCTGGGTTTTTTCTTTTTTACTACATAAAATTTTTTTGTGCAATAATGCTGTGATGCAGCATTTAATGACCAGATCAAATCCCATAAATGGTTTGCATGACCACCTGTATGAATACCTGTTCAGTACTGACATACAAAAAGATGTTACAAAAAGAAAGGTTTGTGAAGCTTGCACCCACCAGCTCTGGTCTGGGAGAACATGGGCATAGGGTTTAAAAGAGTAGCAAGTGAGCTAGTGGTAATTACTGAGAAATATTGACAAATTAGGAAATGCAAATGAACCAACGTAACAAACAGGCTGAAGGGCCACAGGCTAGGACATGCTCTTACTAATAATTTGCTGGATTAGTTGGAATATAATAATAAAATTCTCAAATAAAAATATCAAATTTCCTTGTAAAATAGGAGAAAGAGCAAAACTGGATGTGTTGAATGTAAACTGTACCTTGGATTTAATTTTAATTAATGGTGAAATAGAGGTGTAAGGGAGAACACTTTCCAAATGTGTGCACATGCCAGATACCATCAAATGAAAAACCCTTTTTGAAGAAATAAATTCTCTATTCTTATGATGTTTTGCCGGAGCAGTCCTGTGCTTACACTTGCAGACAAGCAAGTTATTCATCCAGAAGCAATCTGCAAACTGTGAAGCATTATCTAGTTGTTCATTCACTCTCTTTCCTTTGCAGAGGAATGATCCTAATTAGGCTGTCTCTGGAGGAATATGATGATGAAATCTTTCCCCATCTGGTCCCTGCCTCTCAGCTGCCCAGAGATAAGTTACAGTGTCCCACCTCCTGCTATCCCAGGTTGGTCTGAATTGCAGGCACAGCACAGAGGTTCACAAACAAAAGGCTTTTCCATCCCTGATATCCACATCTGGGTGGAACCTGAGTAGGAAAGAATGACAAAAAAACTCCCAACTCCCATCCTGTGGCAAGGAGCATTTATCCTCTTAGCTGGGCATACCTGTGCCTCTGGCAGCTTTCCTCCAGCGATGACCTAACAATTAATAACACCAGTAATAATGAGGGAAATGTGAAAATGGGGAAGACAGTTTTTGAAGTGGCATGTGATTACGTGTCCTCCACAAAATTAATAGCACTGGTTATTATGTGCTAGGGAACATCAGGCTTCACTCAGAGGCATTACGCATCTATTTATCCTAGTCAGAATCAATGTGAGGAAAAGCAATGTGACATGGGCATTATAGACTTTTTAGCAATACTGACACAGAGGGATTATTAATGAGCTACCCTCTGCTGCGTTTGACCTTGAAGCAGGCCGATGTTTGCTCTTAAGATGCTGGTTTGAATGTGTGAAAAGAGGTGGGCTGCAAGAGCTCATACACAGAATTTTAGGATCTGACCTTTTTTTCCTCTGGAAGTTTTTTCTTCTGGCACAGTCACGTGTTCAATACATGGTAAAAGGAAAGGGGTGGGACAAGGAGTTCCTATAAAATGAAGCAGACACACGTTTTTTTTTAAATCAATGGGTCTCCACCACAGACTTTGACTGGTTTCCTTCTTGTCTCTTTCTATTTTTTTTCACATCACCTGTACCTGTGATTCACACTGAATGGTTTTATTCTGTCCTGTCTCAATTTTTTTTTCCATTCTCTCCCAGAGTGGATTCTGAACTCTGAAAGGCTGGCATCCAGAACAAGCATGGCAATCATAGAATCATAGAATCATTAGGGTTGGCAAAGACCTCCAAGATTATCAAGTCTAACCCTAAACAGAACACCACCATGCCACTAAACCATAGCACTAAGTGCAGTGTCTACTTGTTTTCCAGGGATGGTGTCTCCACCACTGCCCTGGCCAGCCAGTTCCAATGTTTAACCACTCTTTCAGTAAAGAAATTTTTCCTAGCATCCAATCCACTCAATTCATGCATTAGAAAAGCCAAAATAATTAAATATATAAAGCTTCCTTTGTGTTAACACCAGTGCAGAAACCACAGACTTATGTCAATCAATGATTGATTTTTATTATCCTTAATATTATGTTGAAGACTACTGCTCATTTTATAAGATTTTTGTCTTTCCCTGACCAGAGTTTCTGAAGGCAAGAGGAAAGTTCCATCCAAACTGCTTTGTTGTGCTGATATCACCCTCTAATGACTGTCCATCCAATGCTCTCTGGTCACGTGTAGCAAAAAGCTCTGTTTATCCACAGCAGATCAATGGATCTCAGCCATTCCTATGGAAAAGCCTTGATGCACAAAAAACAAGGAGAAGGAGACATCTCTGAGCTCACTTTGGGGTGTGTGCTGATAGGCAGCAGCTGAGAGAGAAGCTGTGGTTATTGCGATGTTAACAGATCTCTCTGTAAACCCATCTATTAGGAGGTCCTTATGTGATATGTGGGAATTAAGATAGGTGGAAAATACCAAATACACACCAACAATAAATCTGGATTTTAATCAAAAACATACCTGGTGAAAGAAAGGAATGATTTCAGCTTGAAGAACTACATGCAACCCCAAACGAGGCTTTTTGAAATGAGCTAAATTTCAAGGATCAGACCAAGAAACTATCACACCATGTGAAGATAAAATCCATGTTGCAGGGTGAACCATAGCAAATCTGAACTAAACCCTTGTTTTTCCAAATTATGAATGCAATATAATTCTCTTTGCACGTGAAGAAAGCACAACTATGCTAGTCACCATTTCAGTTAATTTACTTAATATTGTATTATTCAAATCTCTTTTGTACAAGCTTTAAAAGCTCCATAGTCAGGAATGGGTTCTGGAATTAAACATTAGCTCTTAAATGTAGTGACAAGAATTTATTGAACAGATTTCACAGCTGTCATTAGCAGGCAAATTCCAATAAAACTTGATTTAAGTTGTCACTAATTAACCATATTCAAAAATGATGTATTTAAATGGGCATTTTGTGAATCCCAGTTAGAGCCCAACTGCAGCCCCAGAAATATGCACACCTTCCACAAACCTAAGGCTTTATCTATTCCTCCTGAGATATCTCCAAATAAACTCATGGATTGTGTTCCAGCCCATCACCAGGCACAGATTCTACCCTGACCCTCAGAAATTTACCACCGATTGGTCAGATTAGCTCTTCCCATCACATCCCCTCAGTATCCTTCTCCTCCCTCTTCTGACTGCTGACCTCATCTTACTTGAGGATGACACCCAGACCTACCCAATCAAGTAATTTTTGAAAATGAAGACAGAAAATCCCTCCACAAACTGGACTTTGTTAATTTTCACACTTTATTACTAATAATTTAGTAATAAATAATTTAGTACTAACACTTTAGTACTAATAATTTTGGGTCAGATGCACTTTGCTGTAAAAAAGTTCACTTTTACACCTAATACCATAATATGACCCAAAAAAAACCCCCAAACAAACAAACGAAAAACACACACACACAAAAGCAGAGAGGAAGGAAGAGGCATAGACAAGGAACAAAGTGATGGTTTAAGGTAAAATGAGCCATGAGTCAAGTAGAAGAAATTCTATTGGAAGGTTAATCTGTACAGCTCTTCTCTGATCACAAGATTCCTAAAGTAGCTGCTATGGAAAGAGAAGAGTGCTGTTACTAATACCTGATCAATTATTTGACTAGTCATATATTAGTAATAAATAATACATTTATTATTTATTTTACTAAATACTTGATTAACCACTAATTAAACCAAAATATTGTTAGGTTTCAGTGATCCTGTTATCCATGCTAGTGAGTCACACTGAAGGCACCAGACTTTCCAGCAGAAAAATGATGTCATTAAGGGGTGGGTTTTCACGAGCTCTTTATCAAAAAATCAGCACCTTGAACAAGTTGATAGCACACAGATGCTGATCTGTCATATCCAATATTCAGACACATAGAGAGGTTAACTCGGTGTTCAGGAAACACCATAACAAAATGTTGTCCTGACAAAAAAATTTAACCCCCTCACAAACATGCACTGCCCTATTTCTTGTCCTAAGTCAGTTATGCACAGAACTCTGTAAGACCATGTGTTATCTGAGTATCTGCTCTTGAGATCGCAATCCTGAAACACTGTAGTAGCATTTAAAGTGGAGATTTTAAAGTACAGACTAGCTCCCTGAATCTTCCAACTGCCTGCTACAAATCCTGAGGGAAACCCTTGTTTTTTCAGGCTGTTCCAGCTGTTTGAGTAGACAAAAGTGAAAGGCAGCAGCACAGCTGACATGGCATATCCTACTCTTAAATGACAAGTCATATCTTAACACGGTTTCAAACACTTAAATAACTGATTATGCATCCATGAAGCATCCGGTTCAAGAGCTCTTGTTCCAATGCCCATAGTAACAGCTACAGACCCCAAAATAATTGAATTAGTGATTTTCTGAAGGCTTATGAGAAAGCATCTTTTCCCTCATGTCAAGACAACCAGATCCTTCCAGGTTTTTTACATTTCACACTTCCATCTCCCAAAAGATTCAGGGTTCAACATCTCCTCTCAAGTTAAGGAGTGGCCATTTTAATCAAAATGGTGCCTCAGAAATTATATTGTAGGAAATTCCCTAAATTCCATTTCCATTTAGGAAATTCTATTTCCATTTAGGAAATAGGAAATGGAAATTCTATTTCCATTTAGTGCTCAGTGAGCTGGGACAAAACCTTCAGGCTCAGTCTCGGGGGCACGTGCAGGCTCTCAGCTCGTGGGAGGTTTCCTGAGTGATGACTTTCTGGATTGCCTCCCCTGTTTGGGAAGGGGTTTATGCTGAATCACTTCTCTGTTTATTTTTGAAGGGGGTCTCTGCTGACAACTCTGGAAGGTCTGTCAAGCCTCAGAGCAGGACTCAACTTCCACAGTTATTCCATTTTAAGATTAGTGTGAACATATTGCAGAGTTCTTCAAGGATAGTATCAACAAAGTGACTGCAGTTATAGCTATTCTAATACTCTTTATTCTATATTCCAGTATTATTCTAATACCAGAGAGGAGTGAGGAGAAAGAAGGCTGCTTTTTTTTCTAACAGATTCATCTTTTACTTGTTTTCAGCCTCATAATCATACTGGTATTTGCCTCTTACTCTGTGTTCTCACAGAACATCCCTTCTAGGACATAAAAAAATATATTCATTACATAGCTTTTTATGCTGTGCTGCAGGCACAGGAAAATAACTTCTAAGAAACACCAGGAGGGTCCCCTTGCACAGAAGCTTTAGAATAAAATTAAGCCTTGAACTTCCGGCATCATTTTGAATGTACTTGCCTGTAAATAAATCAACATATAGACAGGTGCTGTTTCATATTAAAACTACTGCACAGTGTGAAGCATAAATCCTAACACTGATTAAGGTGAATGATCTTAATCATTAAATATTTTTTTTAATTCCTCATGGGGCTAGAGTAGAACTGAGGATGACAATCATAGGTCCATTGTGGCAAAAACTGCAGATAAATTATCCAAGCAGTTATTCAGGCAACACAACTAGTAAAAAATAGCTCTGTCCAGTTCTTTAAAACAACTTAAAAATCCTTCTGATACCTTAGTGCCCACATCACGCTGAGAGACCTTTTGGATGATGGGCTGTCTGATTATCTGTTAGGAACCTGAAGGCAGAACTGATGAAAACTCATAAGGAGCAAGAATTACCCTATTTGGTAGAATTAATTTTTAAGCATTTACGTTTCTACATTTGGCATTTGCTCATGTTGCTTTGTGGCTTTTAAGCACTCAAAGTAAGTGGGTTTGGAGATTTACATTATTCAGGAAAGGGAGCCAAGAAAATTTTGGTTCTGTAAGGGGAGGTAATAGAAGTATATTTTTATTCCTTGAGTTTGCTTTGAATGATAAAATCCACTTGTAGGAAGGGACATACATTATTGGAAGTTTCATCTTTCACAGGGAACATAAATCTGTGGTATTAAACATGTATGGTTATCAAATAGCTCATGTAACTCTGTACGGGAGCTGCAGTATTAGACTGTCCTGGACCTATTATGCCTGAGGGGAAAAAAATAAAAATCCTTCATGTTTGGCTTCCTGAATTCTTCTATTAAAGAGCGTCTGAGTGATCCCTGACAAGGGCCACAGTACATACCCTGCAACTGTGGCAGTACAGTGAGCCAAGTGCCCAACCATGTGCTTGCTCTTGATCTACTAAAGATGGGAGGTACCTCGGCTTTCACCTTTTTTAATGGTATTGGAGGATGCCTGGTACGAAAATCTCTCCTTTGTGGTCCTTCAGGGAGGTTGGCACATCTGGAAGGGTGGGATCACCTCTGGTGAGAGAAGAGTGGACGCCAAGTTCTCATTCCACCTAACAGCAAGAGTTTGCATGTGTGGTGTTGGAATTGGGGTCCTTTTACAAACACAGTTGTGGGACAACATGGAAGAAAAAAGTAAAAAACTGAGCAAGTCACAGAGCTGGCTCAGAGCCAGGCTCACCAGAAGAATAAGAGGGTGATGGCAACCTTGTTTACAAACCTTTTTACTTCTGCACTGTCTTCCCCAGCTGCTCCAAGCTTAACACTGCTTAAAAAGATGGATGGTGCTACCTTTTTTTTTTCTTTTCTTTTTAAATTCAAATAAACCCTGCCACTTTGTTCTTAAAAACCTTTTCTTAGGGAGTTTAATGCAAGGGAATGCTCTAAGCAGAACCATCTCAAGCCACAGATGCCATGCCAGGGATGTGGACTCGCAGCTGATCCAAAGAAGATCCCAATGAGCAAAAGCAATTATCTCCCTTTTACTGAACCTGGTTGAAACTGTGTCTCAAATAAATGAAAAGTAGAAATCTGTCTATTATAAATACCATCTTCATGTATCTTTAAACTCACAATACACATATGTATGAGCTGGGGTACCAAGGGAAAACAACAGCAACACAAATCCAGCCATCTCCTTTCACAGTCCTGATTGATCCTTCCTCATAGCATTTCACTCCTCTATCACCTCTTTGCTATGTTAATTGCCATATCCATCAGCTGTCTCTGGTTTCTGAACATCAGCTTAAACTGAAGACCCTTTAGATGTTTTCCTATTTGAAGAGTTTATCTCTGCCAGGGAAAGAATTCAAAACACAGTACATTTGACTGCTTTAAATTGAGAATTACTTCATCCTGCACCTTTCCCTCTTGTTCCACACTCCAGTAGCCCAGGGCTGAAATTGTGTGGCATTGATAAGAATGGTCTTACCACAGTCAAGTCAATAAAACAATTATTTCCACTTGGAGATGAATACTGGAATATTAAAGTTTTTATTATTTCTGGAAGAGTGCGTCCATGCTGTCTGTGTGGATTGGAAGTGCACACACGCATGGATGGCTCCCTAAATAGGAACTGTTCCCTTAGGAGGGCTTTGCACACATGTCAAACTACTCCAAGTGGTATAGTCACATCTTGGAATGATGCCCTTAAGACATTTATTTTAAAAAATTCAAATGAGAGTAGGAATGGAGTGAGGCAGAGGTACTGTAAAAACTGACACACAGAGAATGTTACTCCCTACAAAGCTGGAATTCTGCCTTTCCTCTTGTGATAAAAGATGAAGTATGGACACAACATTAGTTTGAAAAATAATTGGAGCGATGTACAACAGGAGGAAGCATGACTTTGTGAGAAGGAGCATGAGGGAGACTTGGGCTCTGAATTAATCAATTAATTTTTTACTGGTGAATGTACTGGTGGATGTAAAATGAGGCTGGGGCTGACCTGTCCCAGGTGGTAGTCTAACCTCTAGCCTGCATGCCACCTCTCCCTGTTTTTTTCCACCAAATTTCAACTGGAAAGTTGTGCTGTGAGCCAGTGTCACAAGGAGGCTACCAGAGCCCCTCTCTGCACCTTCACGCTGCTAAAACCATTGTCTTTGTTTCTCCTGGTCTCTGTCCCAAGATTGCGAAAAGCAGATAGTTGTGCCAAGTATTCACCTTAGGTGCCATTCCTAAATGGCATTGATGCAAAATTAATATTCAGATGTTTATACTGTTTTACCTTCAAAAGGTAACTAGTGTTTCATCACCCATCCATCCATCCATCTGTCCATCCACCCCTCCATCCATCTATCTATTCATCCAGTCTTCATCCTCTATTTGGATGGAGAAGCAAAGCCTGAATGTTGCATTGTCTCATCACTGTTTGCACAGCACATGGTAATAGCACAGCTCATGATGTTGCAAACAAGTTGGCTCATAAAAACAGGAGTTTTCAGTAGCTCAAGCCATTCTACCCCAAGATATGAATTAAGAGAACAATATAATGAGAGCATAACATAAACCACATAAACCAAATTCTAGTCCCTAGGCTGATAGTTATGAAAGGGGGCAGGCTTCTGAACTGGAAAAGAGACAACAGATTTGCTAAGGGTTGAAACAGAGTAGGGAAAAAAATAAGTGATAGATACTAAAGGAGCTAAAGTAGCTCCTTTGTCAACAAAGAACTTGGAAGACTAAGGTAGAAAAAAGTATTTCTCAGTCCTTTGAAGTGCTACATTTGATAGTTTCTTATTAACAGAGGTTGAACTTCAGGAAAGACAAGATCAGCATATGTGTGTTGTGACTGGTTCACAAGGTAACCCACCCTGAAAAGAGTCATTGTGCTGTGATTGTGCACAGAGACCACGCGGCTACCTGGAGAGACATAAAAACCAGACACCAAAGAAGAGCTGGTCATGCTGTGGAGAACATGTGATGCTAACCATGTATTTTTGTATCACATTTGAAGCCATAGAATCCATTAAAATGAGTAATAGCCTTGTACTCACTAATAAATTGTTTAAACTGAATATTTTCATAGACCTGTAGTCTCTAACTACACCAGTAACAGCACTCACAATTACAGTACCTGCAACTGAGGAAATACACTGAGTTTTAGGTGTTGCTTTGGAGACCCAGGATAATAAAACACGCAGGAAAATTCAACTAACAAATGCTTACAGCTGTCTGAGAAGTGTGCTCTGCTGAGTCTCAGCAAAGGAGAAAGTTGTTGTTCTTCTCTAGCTCTGAGGCCTACTTTCCATAATTTCTCCTTCCTGCTTCTGTGCAGGACTTTGTTTACTCTCTTCTGGAGTGTTGCTTCATATTACTGCCCCCAGGGAGCCTCTGTCACAGATGGAGAGATCCCCATCTTCATGCATGCAGCTGAAAGTAAGCACCTAAAAGAACAGGACGTGGTGAATATAAGAACTATCACACAGAGAAGCTCATTTTTAAGCAAAATTTTCCATTTTCCTCAGAGAGAGGGACAATTCTCTTTCTTGGTAAATGGAGTGGAGAGGTTACTGAGAAAAAGCTCAAGATTAATTCAAAGTTTCGTCTTGAATCCTAAAGCAGGAATCTCAAACAAAACATGTAACAAGATAAATTTCTTTTTTTTTTTCCTCCAATGGAAAAAAAATCCAACAATAACATCTCTTAATTAAATGCTGATGTTTTGCCTCCCTTTTTATTTACTGTGGTTTCTTGAGATTCTGGGGTATTTTGACTGCAGACAAATCTCCCATTTATGGGATAAACTAAGTATCAAGGTTGTAATCAAGACACACCTGCAGTCACTCTGTGCTTTGGTTGTCTTATGAAGACCAGGTGTATGTGTGTTCCCAAAGGACCAGGCACTAGTTCTCCTGCAGAGAAAACTGCAAAGATTTAGCTCATTCTTACAGTGACACGAGCTGACAGGACACAGTTGATTCCCTCCACTTTGGTCAAACACTTGTGGGTTTTTGCTGTTGGGCTGCAGGTAGGTATTCCCAGGCAGTGTTCTGGGCAGAGCAATCCTGGTTTGGGGAGCAGATCTAGGGTGCATTGTGTGCTCTGTCTGATTCTCTCATTGTTGGAGGGCACTGCGCGTGGGAAGTAGGTTTGGAGCTCTGTCACCCAACCCTGACCACACATGACGCACCAAGGGACACAGCCAGAGCCACTCCTGCCTCAGCAGCAGCCGCAAACCCTCCTGCTGGAACCCTGAGCCCAGAGCCCGCCTCAATCCCTGACACTCTTGTGATTTTTGGTGAAACAAGGGGTCAACCATCTGAGACGCAGAGTTGACACAAAGCCACAAAAAGCTGGAAGTGCAGCATTAATTGTGTCACAGCCACTAAAAAAAGCAGAAAAGGTATGAGAGCAGGGTGGTTTCAGAGCCTTGTGTCTCTGTCACTGGTTTCAACCATGCTGCCATCCTGATGGACATCCTGACCACAGGCTATGTCACAAAAGAAATCATTTGAGGTTTCATTTAGCTCAGGACAAGAGATGCTGTATTGCTCAGACATCTCAGGAAAGACAGCAGAAGGAAGTTTTCAGCTGGTTAGTAATGTGCTTCATCCTACCTGTCACCTACGTCTCAGGGGACCTAAGTGACCTGGGGACTGAGTAACAAGTGAAACCTCATTTACCTTCATGCTGGAGGCTCTGATGTGTGCCAAGGCTGTGTTGCGCCAGCCTGGTTGCACAGAGTCTCAGCACAGCATGCCACGCATTCTTCAAGCAAGGTGAAAAAAAAGATAGCCTGTGTGAACCTTTCACCAAAAAAATCGTCCATCTGAGTGAAAAAGTAAAGAGTGAA